AATCATAATAAAATGACTAAACTACCCTCATTTATTTAAAATATTTACAACTTCACCTATGTAACACATTTTGACTCATGAGGGGTAAAATTATAATTTCACCGTTGGCTAAAAACTAACTTTCCAAATGAAAAAAAAAGCCAAAAAAATTAACTTTTGACTTTTGCTACTAATAAAAAAAAGTGACTAAAAACTATGCTTGCTAAAATAAGCCATAATTCAATTAAAATTTTGAGTTTAAATGTCTTAAACCATCCACCCCCCCCCCCCCCCCCCCCCCCAAAAAAAACACATTTTCCAAAAAAAAAGTACATTTTCCACGTAACCAAATTTTTTTTTTTTTAGGTTTTGAAAATGATAGTTATGTTTTTAAATCAACATAAACATTTCTAATGATGTTATACATTTTTTTTATTTATTTAAATTGAGTTCAATTTTGACAATTGAAAATGTTTTTTTTTCACAAATATTTTGTAACATAAAATTATTATGATTTATGGTGAGATAAAATTATAATTTATGTAACAAAATTTTAGAATGTTATTATAAATTTGGAAGGCAGATTTCAGTAACAGTTTCTATAATTTAGGACTCATGTCACTTTGTTATTGATTTTTCAATTATGAAACATTTAATTTTAAATTTTAAATTTTGAATCTTGAATCTTGTTTTTAAATAAAGATAATTTAAGATATCATTATTCAATTTCAAGGATAAAATTGTCAATTTGATAAAATATAAATTAATTTAAAAAAAATAAATGTCAAAAATATTTTGCAGTTTTTAAAAATAATTTTTATCCACTAAAGATAAAATTATGTAAAATTGATAAAAGTAAAAATAATTATTTATTACATGATTATCATTCAAATAGATAATAAAAATTACTTTGGTAAAAAAAATAATCAATGTCTAAACGATATATTAATTTTATATAATTTTATTTTTAGTGAGTAGAAATAATTTTTAAAAATTTAAAAATATTTTTTTGATATTTATTTTTGTTAATTTTTTTTATATTTTATCAAATTGACAATTTTGCCTTCAAAATTGAGCAGTGATATCTTTAATTGTTTATATTTAGAATAAAATTTAAAATTAAAGATTAAATGGGTTTAGTAAAAAAAAAATGAAGGGTGTGGTGATATATATGAAGAGAGATTAGATTTCAAATAGAGATAAGAGAGAGAGAAAATGGGGACGGGCCATTCTCATTTGGCCTGATGACCAACTATCGAAGAAAGACAATAAATGAGGGCGAGAGGAGATAAGAGGCGATGGTGGTGGGATGGTTAGTGCTTGTGGTAGTCGGTGGCGGCGTCCCAACAAGAGGAGAGGCAGAGGCGAGAGAGGTTCTGGCTTAGATTTTGAGGTGAGAGAGAGAGTAGAGAGGTTTGGTAGAGTGATGATTTAAGAGGAGAGAGAGAGAGCATTTGAACAGGAAATTAATCATTAAATTTTAGATGCTACAATCTGGACCATTGAAACAAAATGTGCTATCTCTGATACATTTTGGATATTTTTAGAACCTTCTTCTCATATTATGTTGATTTGAAGATTAGATTATCAAGTTTTGGAAGGTCACCATAAGCTCTATGTTTAGGATTTGAATAGTTCACTTTTAAGTGTTTAGGATTTGAATAGTTTACTTTTTAAGTATTTTTGTGTATATTTTTAAAAAATAAATAACAAATATAATTTTAAAAATACATCATTAATTTTTTAAAGATGGATACATTAAAAATTTGTGTTTATATTTATCGAATCAATATGTTTTTTTCAAGGATAATCTAAACACAAGTACCTAAAAATAAATTAGCGAAACGGAACGTGAGGTCGACTCACAAACCAAAAATTCGACTGTCTAATCCTACAATCGTTTAGATGACTAGAGACATGCCAAGGGATATGTACAGAAGCATATTTTGAACATTGATTTATATCTTATATCGTAGTAGTCTACCATAAAACGTTATTAATATTTAGGAATGTAATTCAAATTGAATAAGTTTTAAGGTTAAACTAGGGATGCAATTCGGGCGGCTTGGTTGGATTGGGGGTTTGTCCAAGCCCAGCTTGAATTGTATTTGGCAGTGTTCAAGCCCGACCATCAACTCGAGCATTGCTGCCCAAGCCCGCCGGACCAAGCTTTGTATTTTGAATTCGGATTGCCCGAATTGCCCGAGCATTGCTGTTCACCAGACAATTGAGTCCTATGCTCACCTACCATGGTGTCCAGTCCCTAAATCCAATATTTAAAATACAAAGGTAAAATAAAGAATTAACAAGCTTATGAAAGTGAATAGATAGAATACATAAGAAAGAATGTAATCAAAAGGGCAAAAAAACTTCAAACTTGAGGCAGTTTATCAGTGAATTTAGCAGCATTGGCTAGCTCAGTTGCTGCTCTAATCTCTTTTATTTAAAAATTAAGAATAACTCTTTTATTTAATTTATATATATTATATAATTTATATAATATATTTAATTTAATTCAGTTTCAATCCTATAATCATTTAGATGACTAGAGACATGCTAAGGGATATGTACAGAAGCATATTTTGAAATTGATTTATATCTTATATTGTTGTAGTCTACCATAAAACGTTATTAATATTAGGAATGTAATTCAAATTGATTAAGTTTTAAGGTTAAACTGCACTCTCTCTTTTTGAAAATTTTTATCTTTTTTTGTTCCAATTTTTTAGAAATTTATTTTTTAGTTTTTCATATATTTTTATTTTTAATAATTTTTTTTAATATTATGAGTAATTTTTTTTGTTATTTTTTAGGTATAATTAATATAAATACAACTAAAAAGGATAATATTTATGAATTTTTTTAAAAAAAATTCATTCAATACCAAGAATAAAAGAAAAGAAAATTTAGTATATTTTCATATTCTTATGTATTTATTGATTTTTTAAATATTTTTTTACAAATATTTTATGTTTTAAGTGCATCTTATTACTTAAAATATTAAAAAAATTTATTAAAAAAATATGAAAATAAAAACTTAATTTAAAAAAAATTAAATTTGGAAAATTTGAACTCAACAAGTTTGTTAGAATAAATTCATATCAGATCAAGTCTATATAAAAAGATTTTCAAAATTTAAGTCCCTTGGTTATTAAATTGGGAGGTAGTCCAACTATGGGTCCCATTTCAACATCTAACCATTTATTTTGTTAAGTACTTCATGTGCATAACCCACGTTAAAAAAATTAGATTGATTCGATAATTATTTTTTTACTTTGTAATAAATAAATAAAAAGAAAAACAAATGATCTATTTTAATAACACAATTGTTGTCCATTTTTTGTTGACAAATACGAAAAATTAAATTAGTTACGATTATCATATCAACCTAATTATTATTATTTTAAATCACATGTACGAAATACTCGATAAAATAAACAATTTAAATAATTAAATCAATACACTCGATGCACTTCATGGTCTCAAACAGTTCCATGCAATCCAGATTATGAACTAGGGATAATTCATCTCTTTTAAATTTTGAGAGGTGAGATCCATACTTTATACGTCTTTCCTCATGCATCAAACTTATTCCAAATTTTTCCATGAGTTGTCTTGCTAATCCCGATTAATCCACCAACTCGATCAATGCTACCTTTTACTCGATATCCAAATTAAAAATGTTAGAAACACTAAGTATTTTACTAAATTTTTTAGAATCTGTTTGGTAACTATTTTGTTTTTAGTTTATTTTACAAAAAATTTAAAAACTATCATAAAAACTTGTTTAATAATTTTTTTGGTTCAAAAGTCGTTGTCTCAGTTTATAAATTTAAAGAAAAATGTAAACTCAAAAAATGAGTTTACGGTGATTTTTAAATAGAAATTTAAAAATTTGATTGACAAATTTTTTTTTGCAAATAATTTATTTCCCAATTAATTTTTTTTTTCAATTAATTTTTTTTCAATTATAATGTGTATGATCTCATTGTCATAAATAATAAAAAATAAATATAAATATTTTAGACTTGAACAACATATTTTTTAGTTTATGTTTTTAAAATTTTTCAAAGATTTTGTTCAAATCAAACTCGTTTGTAGTTTAAATTTTTCTAAAAATAAACAATAATCAATTTATAAAATTTTTGTAAATACAAACAAAAAACACGTAAACGTTATCAAACTTGGTCGAGCGTTCGAGCTGACCCTTGGTCGTTCCAGCGACTGGCAAACATATAGTGAGTTCGCTCGAGCCACTAATTGGTCTATTGAGTGGTTTGTAAAGATTGTTAAAGATTTGGGAGCTCACAAAGGTCGCTGTCTATGAAAAATCTGGGGCTTTGGGTTCAAAATTGAAAGTTTGAGCTCCCAAACACCATTTCAAAACTTGGGGTTATGCATGACTTAAAAATATGAAAATGCTTTGGTAAATTCCAATACATGACCATTTATAAATCATTTGCTCAAAATTTTATCAATTTACCGAAGCTTAATTTAAATTTTCATGCATGTAAAGAATTTTCAATTCTTTTCTCTTGATTTTCAAATTATGAAATTAATCATGTAGTCCATGAACTTTTCTAAACTCATGTGCAACTTAAAAACTTTCATGTATGCAAGAATTCAAAATCCAAATCAAAAATTAACTTTCATGAATGTGCATGTAGCTCAATTTCCTACTTAAAACCCAATTTCTTCATCATCTTGTTAAAACCTTTCAATTTCATGAATATGATTCCAAAACTCTCTTAATCTCAAGTATAGTGTGGTGATTCCACATAAATTGAATATAAATTTCATACCTTAAGCTTTAATTTAGGAAGTAGAAGTGATTTCTCTCTAATTCCTCTGGTTCTTCCTTCAATTCCCAACACAGTGTGGGTTTCTCTCTCCACACTCTTGAGCTCTCAAATTCACTCTCTTTTTAATCTTCTTCCAACGGAAATGAAGGACTGAAGAATGAGCTCCCTGTATTTGTCTTTTTTTTTTTGTTTTTTTGAACGAGGAAATGCCAAAAGAAGTTACATAGGGGAATCAAAAACAAGAAGAGCCTGAAGCTTAACAAGTGGGTTGCCAACCCAATCAAGAGGGAGAGTACCCTTCAAAGCACAAGAGGCTAACCAATGTGCCACTTTGTTAGCAGTCCTTGGAATCCAGCGAAAGAGTAACCCAAGTCTTGAGCGAGAAGCACAAATGTCATGGAAAATGGCCAAACTTTCCGAAGGTGGATCAAGTTCAGTGGCACTTAGCTTAATCACAGACTTGTTGTCGCTCTCTACGTGAAGATTTGCAAGGGCAAGAGAGGATGCCAGCAAACAAGCCAAACGGACAGCCCGAGCTTCACTTTGAGAAACAGAGGAAGATAGCATTGTAGAAGTAGAGCCAGCTATCAATTTACCTTCCCAGTCCCGCAAAACTACTGCGATAGAGGAGCTGGAGCCATCCTTAGAGAAACTAGCATCACAATTAAACTTGAGCTGGTCTTGCAACGGAGGGACCCAGGTAGAGAGAACAGGGATAGCAAAAGAAACAGCTTGTTGGGGGCTTGCAATTCAACCTTGATAATCGGCCAAATCAGTCCAGAGACAATTAGCTTGTTCGATCGTGTTGGAAGGTGCAACTGGGTGGCCATTGAAAACCCAATCATTCCTAGCTTTCCAAATACACCAGCTGATGACAATTATTCTGTCCACAAGGTCTTGCCTTTCCTTTACTGTTAGACAAGTCTTCATCAAAGAAAGTGTCCACTCAGCAGTCGACGTAGGTTAACTGTCAGCAAACTTCCGACCAATATTGCACCCAAACCAGACTGCCCGTGTCCAACTGCCGTGGAATAAGATGTGCTTAATTGACTCCACCGCACCATTGCAAGTAGGACAATGCTGAGAGGCCGTACACCGACGCCGATGAAGATTTTCTTTTGTAGCCAACTTATTGCGGCACACTCGCCACCAGAAATGACACAATTTGGGCTGGATGTTAAGGGACCAAATAAATTTCCAAAGCTCACAAGATGGTTGAGACGACGACGAGGCAGTAGTACCATTACCACAACGCTGCTCATTAATCGCAAGATGGTACCTACTTTTGACCTCATAATTTCCTTTGGGAGAGAAATGCCAAACCAAAGAGTCTGTTTTATCTTTTACAGAAATTGGAATAGAAATAATGTTGGCAAAATCATGCTCACCAACCATAGGCTTTAGCTTGTGATGGTCCCACTCCTTACGGTGTTGATTGATCACTTCACTCACTGCAATGGGCCCACACTCAGGAGGCCTTCCAGTTTGCACATGAAAATTATGATTTTTAGGAATCCAACGGTCTTCCCAAAATTGAATAGAAGCTCCATTCCCAACTTGCCAGCGAAGGCCCTTCAAGAGTAGGTCTCTTCCTTGGAGAAGGCTAGCCCAAGCCCATGATGCTTTCTGCCATTTCACCGCACTTCGTATGTCAGAGCTCGGGTAATAGACACCCTTTAAAATTCGAGCACAATAAGAGTTAGGAAATTTAATGAGTTGCCAGCCTGGCGAGCAAGGAGAGCAATATTGAAGGCCTTAAAATCGCGGAAACCCATCTCTCCATGAGCTTTAGCAACAGTTAAATTGGCCCAACTAGCCCAATGAATACCTCTATCCTCCGGGTTTCTACCAGAAGTTACTAATATATGCATTAAGGCGACCACAAAAATTCTTCGGAAAAGCAAAACACGCTATAGCATATGTGGGGATAGATTGGACCACAGATTTCATGAGGATTTCTCGGCCGGCCTGGGAGAGAAGGTTTTGTTTCCATCCTTGCTTTTTCTGAATAGCTTGTTCCATCAAGAAACCATAGGCTTCGGACTTAGACCTGCCCCAGAAAGATGGTAATCCCAAGTACTTGGCATTGCCAATGATAGCTGGGATACCCAATAAAGAACAAATTTCGTGTTGAGCCAGCGAAGGGGTATTAGTTGAGAAAATAAGGCCAGACTTGTCAAAGTTAATTAGCTAACCAAAAGCCACACAATACTCCTCGACGGTGGACTTAAGGGCAAGACAATCAGCAATGGAAGCCTTAGAAAATAACAAAGCATCGTCCGTGAAAAAAAGGTGAGAAAGAGCAGGGCAATTTCTAGTGAGGCGCATACCAGCCAATTTGTGGTCTTGTAGCTGATTAGAGATAAGGAGTGAAAGAACATCCGCTATCAAGATAAACCAATATGGCGAGAGAGGATCACCTTGTCGAAGCCCACTAGAGAGAATGAAAGAAGCCCGACTTTCCCCATTAACCATAACAGAGAAGGACACAGTGCTAATAAATTCCATAACCCATTCAGTCCAGACCGGGTTGAATCCCATCTTAAGAAGAAGGGCCTGTAGAAAATCCCATTGAACCCGATCATAAGCCTTATTAAAATCAAGTTTGATAGGCATTTCATGTAATCCACCTCTTTTCTTAAGCTTCAAATGATGGAAAGCTTTGTGGGCAACCAAAATGTTGTCCTGAATAAGCTGGCCAGGGACAAACGCAGATTGTTGGAGAGTAGCGACAGTTTTCAAAATAGGCTTAAGCTTATTCGCAAGAATCTTAGTAATGATTTTAAGACTAAAATTGCAGAGGCTAATGGGACGAAATTGAGACAATTTTCTGGATGTGGGACCTTTGGAATAAGGAAAATATTGGTTTGATTTAATTCTTTCAACAAGTGACCATTTGAGAAAAAACTTCGAACTGCCTTGCCCACATCTTTTCCCACTATAGACCAATGTTGATGGTAGAACACCCCTGGTTACCCATCTGGTCCTGGAGCTTTCAAAGAGCCTAGTTGAAACGTTGCTTGTTTAATCTCAGCATCCAAAATTGGTCTAGTTAGGGAGGCATTTATCTCATCAGTAATAACCTTCTGCACAACTGAAAGAGTTTGGCCCATGTCTCTTGGAGAATCACTAGTGAAGAGCTTAGAAAAGTAGGTCAGCAAGTGGGAGTTGATATCCAGATCCGAAGAAAGTCAGCGACCCTCATCATCCTTAATCTTAATCAATTGGATTCTCTGTCTCCGCTGAATAATGGAAGCATGCAAAAAAGAAGAGTTCTTATCACCATAGCACAGCCAATTCACCCTTGACCGCTGATGTAAAAACATTTTCTCTCGATGAATAACATCCGAAATTTGCACTTTTATGTCCCTCTAAGCTTGAATGTTAGCAGCCGAAGGATAGTGTGATTGAAGTTTAGAGAGTTTAGATTTTAAGCATCGAAGCACATCCTTATTATTCCCAAATTCCCTTCGGCTCTAGTCCTTGAGGACTTGTCTTCCTTCCTTCAATTTTTGATTCAGTTGATACATAGGGGAACTCGATGTCTGTGTTTGCCAACGGTGTGCAATAACTGTATGGCAATTTGGAGACGTAGTCCACATAGATTCAAACTTGAAGAGCCTCGGAACTCGATTTGGTGGGATACAAGAGTTAAGAATGAGAGGACAGTGGTCCGATCCGATAAAAATGTCGTCGAAAACTAGTGTAAAAGGGAACATCTCTCGCCAATCAACAGTAGCTATTGCACGGTCAATCCTTTCCTTAACATTATCAGAGCCTACCTGGTTATTTGTCCATGTGAAAGTTGGACCCTTAAATCCCAAGTCCATGAGAGAGCAATCAGAAATCAGTTGTTGAAACTTTTCAATTTGTCGTAGATTTGGCCTAGATCCTTCTTGTTTTTCCCAGATTGACCCCGCTTCATTGAAATCGCCAATACATAACCAGGGTAACCTATTCTCTTGACCCATTTGACGAAAAGAACTCCATAACTCAGCCCGTAAACTAGCTAGCGGGAGAGCATGAATGAAAGTTGCTAACCACTGTTGTCCTATACCACAAACCACACAACGAATTATGTATCTATTTCGGAGACGAACATTAAGATTCACCTCATTTGTCCACCATACAGCCAAACCCCCAGCAAGACCCTCAAGATCCACATAACAACTATTAGCAAATTTGAGATTTCGGCAAATTCGCTCCAGAACTGATCTTTAATTTTTTGTTTCCATAAAAAACACTACGGTTTGATACGTGCATGCATTGGCGTGTTCCACAACCTGTCCTTTATTATTATTATTATCCTTGTTCTGTTTTATTTTAGTTGTTCTGTTTTTGTTAGTGGAGTCTGTCGTGGGTTGTATAGTGTTCATGTCCCTAGAAAATAGGATCATGCACATATCACAAATCTGCTAGGAACTTTATCTATTTAAAGAGTCCTTGAGTCATGTATTTGGTTTTATGCTTGAAAATATATTCAGAAAAGACTAATTACTAGTCAACTTGGAGATCTAGCTTCTCTCGAACGAGGCTCCTTCTCTCTCTCTAAATTCTTTTTGTTTTCTTTTCTGTAACCAAAGCCCACAACGGGTCGAAAGACTCAAATTAGTTCTAAGGCGTTGCGATCCGACGAAGGTGATCGTAGCATTTTGGTATTACAGCCAGGTATGTCCGACGATCGGATTAATCACCTTGAGGCGGAAGTCAGCAACCTCTCTGCCTCCCAAGAACGCGGTTATCTTGAAATTCAAGAAATGTTTGCGGCCTTGCATGCCCGCTTCGACCAACTTACGGCCTCTAGAAAAGATGATCAAGGTGAAGCTTCCACTGGCCATTCTTTTGGTCAGAACATGCCCCCCGGAAACCGCTCGATTATGCCACGACTCACCAAATTGGACTTTCCTACGTATGATGGCAGCAACGACCCTACGAGTTGGATTTGCCGTTCGGAACAGTTCTTTGAATTCCAACAAATCCAAGCCAACGACCAGGTGACCCTCGCAGCATACCATTTAGATGGCAATGCACAACTTTGGTATCAAATTGCCAAGAAGGAGGAACGAATTTATACGTGGACCACACTTAAAGCTGAGCTCCAAGCTCGCTTCGGCCCTACACAGTTTGAGGATTTTTTTGGCAATCTTAGCAAACTACAACAACGAGGAAGTGTTCGTGAGTATCAAACTCAGTTTGAAAGATTATTAACCCGAGCAGGTTCTCTTACACCACAGCAGCAAATTGGGTGCTTTACCAGTGGACTTAAGGAGTCCATTCGAGTGGAGGTACAGGCCTCTCCGCCTCCTTTTCTCTCTGCTGCCGTCGGCCTTGCTAGGCTTTATGAAGCAAGGGTCATGGCCGCCAACCGGAGGCCATCCAACTTGAATCAACCACGCTTGTTTGTCAATAAGGGCCAAGAACGCAGCACAATACCCACGTCCCCTATTCTGCAAATTCGGAGGTTCTCACCATCGGAAATCGAGGAACGCAAGCAGAAGGGGTTGTGTTTCCATTGTAACAACAAGTACGGACCCCGTCATGTATGCAAGAAATTGTTTATCATGGAGGCTTGCTGGCCTGATGAAGATGAAGATGTGGATGTGGAACCTGACGAGCACTCTAACGAGCATCCAAATGAAAACGGACACCATGAGGACCCACCAGCCATCTCTCTTCATGCCATGTCTGGCATTCATGCTCCTCAAACCATGCGGGTCTTGGGAAAGATTCTTAACCATTCGGCCACAGTCCTCGTGGACTCCGGAAGCACGCACAATTTTCTTAAGGAAGAGTTGGCGACAAAAATGGGTTTAAAACCCGACTTGTGTGGCAGGTTGGAGGTCCAAGTTGCGAGCGGCGAAAGGTTGTCTAGCGCCGGAAAATGCAAGGAGGTGCCCATAAGTCTTCAAGGAGTCCCACTCACTGTGGACTTCTACCTATTGCCCTTAGAGGGTTATGAGTTGGTCTTGGGTGCACAATGGCTGCGGACGTTGGGCCCAATTTTGTGGGATTTTTCAAAGCTCCAGATGCAGTTCGAACTAGGAGAAAAAAAGGTATGCTTGCAGGGGCTATCTAATTCTAGTCCAAAATTTGTAAATGAGACAAATATACATCGAGAGTTTCGCCGGCGTAAGGAATGTCTGGTCCTCCAATTGCATGCCATGAATGGAGCGCTGCCAACCACTCAGTCCACTACTCCTGATCCACGCATTCTGTCTCTTTTGAAGGCATTCCCTGATATTTTTGAAAAACCCATCGATCTACCTCCACAAAGAAGCCAAGACCACAACATACCTCTGTTACCGGGTAGTGCACCAGTTAATGTTCGACCGTATCGGTACCCGCATTTCCAAAAAAATGAGATTGAAAAATTGATTAGAGAGATGTTATCAACAGGAATTATTCGCGCCAGCAATAGTCCGTACTCCTCTCCGGTCATATTGGTGAAGAAACACGATGGATCATGGCGCATGTGCATTGATTATCGCGCCTTAAACAAAATCACGATCAAAGATAAATTTCCCATTCCCGTGATCGATGAGTTACTGGACGAGCTCCACGGTTCTCAATTTTTCACCAAACTCGATCTACGGTCAGGATATCACCAGATCCGGGTCCGCCAGGAAGACGTGCAAAAAACAGTATTTCGTACTTATCAAGGGCATTATGAATTTCTCGTAATGCCATTCGGATTAAGTAATGCTCCATCTACTTTCCAATCTTTAATGAATGAGGTATTCCAATCTTATTTGTGAAAATTTGTATTGGTATTTTTCGATGATATTTTGATCTACAGCCGTACCTTGCAAGACCACGTCCATCACTTGGATTTGGTATTTACTACCTTGCGGGCTCACCAATTATTCGTCAAAAGGGAAAAATGTACCTTTGGCCAATCACAAGTGCTCTATCTCGGCCACGTCATCAGCAAGGAAGGCGTCAGTGTAGAAATACAAGTAATGCTAGATTGGCGGAAACCTGCAACTCTAAAATCTTTATGGGGTTTCTTGGGACTTACAGGGTACTACCGTAAATTCATTCAAAATTACGGTGGTATTGCCAGACCATTAACCGACATGCTCAAAAAGGATAACTTTATTTGGACACCTACTGCAGAGGAAGCTTTTGCAAAACTGAAGCTCGCCATGACCACATCTCCAGTGCTTGCTCTTCCCGATTTTTCTCAACCATTCATGATCGAGTGTGATGCGTGTGGCTTCGGAGTTGGTGCGGTCTTACAACAGCAGAATAGGCCACTTGCTTTTTCAGTCAGGCCTTACATGGACGCAACTTGGAGCTCTCTACTTATGACAAAGAGATGCTCGCTATTGTTCTCGCCATCAAAAAGTGGCGACCCTATCTTCTTGGCCGTTCCTTCGTCATCAAAACCGATCAAAAGAGCCTCAAGTATCTATGGGATCAACGCATTTCCACTGACGCGCAGCAACGTTGGCTCTCCAAACTTGTTAGGTATGATTTCATCATTGAGTACAAAAAGGGAGTTGATAATGTAGTTGCCGATGTTCTCTCTCGCCAAAATCATGGTGATACCTACGCTCTCTCACAACCGGTTCCAAGCTGGTTGCATCCCATCCAGAAGGAGACTACATCGGATCCTACTCTACAGCACTTAATCAAGTTGATCAATGATGGTGAAGCCGTGGGTCCATGGCGGAATACTAACGGCGTCCTATTTTTCAAAGATCGGATTTACCTGCTTCATACTTCTGAACTCATCCTTCAAATCATCAAGGAATTCCACACCACCACCCACGAAGGTTTCCATAAAACTCTCCAATGAGTTCGCTTGGTTTTTTATTGGAAAGGGATGCGAAGCACTGTGCGCAGTTTCATTCAAAATTGTGACACTTGCCAACGTCACAAGTCTCAAACTCTCTCCCCTGCTGGTCTCCTTCATCCGCTGCCTATTCCAACTCAGATTTGGGCTGACATCTCAATGGATTTTGTGGACGGGCTACCACCATCCAAAGACAAAACGGTTATTTTCGTAGTGGTTGATCGCCTATCCAAATATGCCCACTTCATGCCATTGGCGCACCCCTACACTGCTCTCACAGTGGCCCAGGTATTCTTTGAGAATGCTTTCAAGCTGCATGGCATGCCCGAAAGCATCGTCTGCGATCGCGATCCTACATTTACAGGTGTTTTTTGGACTACCCTCTTCAAACTGCAAGGAACTGATTTCAATTTTAGTTCAGCATACCACCCTCAAACGGATGGTCAGACGGAAGTTGTCAACCGTACCTTGGAGATGTACTTGCGATGTATCACTTCAGATCGGCCTAAGGAATGGACCACTTGGCTGCCATGGATCGAGTACATCTACAACACATCCTCCCATAGTGCAACCAAATCCACACCGTTTGAAGTAATCTATGGTCGCACTCCTCCATCACTGCTTACTTATATTCCGGGCACTACTAAGCTTGAAGCCATAGACCAAGCTCTACAAGCTCGGGATGAGATGTTACAGGTGATTCGTCACCGGTTACAGTTGAGCCAAAATCGAATGAAACAAATTTATGATTTGAAGCATCGTGAGGTTGAGTTTTCCGTCGATGACTGGGTTTACTTGAAGAAACAACCATATCGGCAATCCAGTCTATCCAAACAGTTCAACCAGAAATTGTCACCCAAGTTTTTTGGCCCTTATCAGATCATCCATAAAATCAATCCTGTGGCCTACAAACTCTCTTTGCCAACTGATTGCAAAATTCATCCCGTGTTTCATGTTTCACTCCTCAAGAAGAAAATTGGTCCTGAAGCTGTGGTTCAAAGCGCGCCCCCAGCTTATATCGATCTTTCCGATCAGGCCGTCCTGCCACAAGCTATATTAGAAACCCGTGTTTGGCCAACTGGCAAGCAACTGCTCGTCCATTGGAAGAATCATTCGCCGGCGGAGGCTACGTGGGAAGATTTGGCCGACTTCAAACTGCGGTACACGGATTTTGTCCTTGAGGACAAGGAAGCTCTCGCAGGGAGGGATGATACGTGCATGCATTGGCGTGTCCCACGACCTGTTCTTTATTATTATTATTATCCTTGTTCTGTTTTATTTTAGTTGTTCTGTTTTTGTTAGTGGAGTCTGTCGTGGGTTGTATAGTGTTCATGTCCCTAGAAAATAGGATCATGCACATATCACAAATCTGCTAGGAACTTTATCTATTTAAAGAGTCCTTGAGTCATGTATTTGGTTTTATGCTTGAAAATATATTCAGAAAAGACTAATTACTAGTCAACTTGGAGATCTAGCTTCTCTCGAACGAGGCTCCTTCTCTCTCTCTAAATTCTTTTTGTTTTCTTTTCTGTAACCAAAGCCCACAACGGGTCGAAAGACTCGAATTAGTTCTAAGGCGTTGCGATCCGACGAAGGTGATCGTAGCAGTTGGATGATGGGTTATACAAAACCCTCTAAGGATCTAGACTGTTAGAGGTCGCCCAATCCTCTGACAGTTCTAGCTGATCATCAACATGACGTGTGTGGCTGATTTGGGTCAGCCACCACAACCCTTTGTGATATCTTATAAGTCTTAGGAGGCGGATAGGTACTAGGTATTTGAGAGCAGAAATCCTCCCCATGGAGTTCAAGAGAAGCTGGGTATACCCTAGTTTTGAGATCTGGACCATAGCCCGAGTGTCGTCCTGCCTCATGAGACACAAACTTACAAGATTGGTTGTCATGCCCAATCCTTCCACAATCATAGCAGAAATCAGATAATCTTTCATACTTGTAATCCACCAATTTCTCTGAAACTTCCGAGGTAATTGGGTCCTTCAGCTTTTATCTTCTATTGGATTAGTTAGAATCGCGGACAATATAATAGAATGATCATTCCTTAGTTTTTCTCATGAAATAATTATTTTTCAAAAATGATAAAAGATTATTTTACTTGTAATCATTATTTTTTTAGTCTAAACCAAATATAAGAATAAATAATTTGATAAAATGATTATTTAATTACACTTTATTTTAGTGAACCAAATATAACTTAGGCCTCGTTTGGTAACTTTTAGTTTGTCAAAATGTTAAAACGTTACTACAAATTATCACATAATTTTTTTTTTTCTTCTTATTTTTTCGTAAATAAAATAGTATGTTCCCACATGAATTTCTTATGGAAGTATCTGAAGACTAGCTGGTCAAGTTTTGGGCTCATAGGCCCATCATAATAAGCTCCACGTCCAGGATTCAGGTCTTTGATGCTTTAGACATTTATGTGTAAATCATATCATTTTTCAAAGAAAAAAAAATATTATTGAATCGATAAGTGCGTAACTATAAAATTCTCGGTGTAGTTTTTAAGGCCCTGTTTGATTTCAGGATATAAAGGGTGAGATTGGATATTATATCCTGTGGGGTAGACGAGTACAAAGGACTAGAGACATGCCAACTTTACGAGGATATGTATGTATGTATATTTTGAACATTGATTTTATCTTATAATGTAATATTCTATCATAAAATGTTATTAGCATTTAGAAATGTTTTTCAAATTAAAAAAATTTCAAGGTTAAACTGGATTATTTTGTTACTCATTCACCTGAGAGATTAAAAATTTTCATTATTATAAAATTTAATTTTTTTTTTCAAATATGATTAAAGATTAGAAGAGTCAAATATTTAATTTGGGTATAGGGGCAACCATATATCTCACATTCATACACTTTTCGCGTTATTTTATAGAAGAAGCTAAAATGCCATTTGTTATTTTCTCTATAGGTAGGATTTTTTTTTTTTTTTTTTTAAATATATGTGGGAGATAAACGCTTCATTAACTAAATTGAAATGAAAAAATGTAATTATTTGGAGTCTATGAAATAAATGTAACTAAATTGAGATAACGTTTCATTAACTAGATTTAATTATATATCAAGTTTAGCAGTGCACTTTTAAATTAAAAATAAGGACAGATAGATCTATTTGGAGTCTATTTGTGCACTTTAAACCCATATGGGGTCATTTGTGCACGTTTTAAATTATAAAAAAAAAAAAAAGAAGCGAAAACCAATAGCTCTACCTGGAGTTTATTTATGCACTTTTAAATTAAAAAAGGAGGATAGATAGGTCTATTTGGGATTTATTTGTCCACTTTAAATTAAAAATCGGGAAAAAATATTTCTATGTATGCACTTTAAATTAAAAAAATTGGGACAGGGTCTATCTGGCATCCTTCTGTGAACTTTTAAATTAAAAATGGGAATAAATAGGTCTATATGAGATATACCTATGCACTTTTAAAGTGAAAAATGTGAACAAGTAGGTTTATCTACTATCTATTGTGCTATTTATGCATTATATATGCCTATCTATGCAGTACCTATGCTATCTGTGCACTATCTGGGCACTTTGAAATATTTTCTAAATTAAAAAAATTGTAGACAAACATATATATGTTTGCTTTACAAATTAAGAAAAGGAGTTTGATATTTATATGTTGCAGAAACTTCAATAGGGCATAATTTTGTGCTCATTAGTCCATTTTTGAGATATTTGTATTTTGATTTTATGTATTTCTTGTGAAATCTATCTGTCTGAAATGAACAGAAGTGGTTTCACTTACTCATTTTTTTCCATAAAAAAAAAAATTTATTTTTTGACTCTCAATTTATACTTTTTTCGCATAAACCATCTAACATTAGACCAAAAAATCATGTCATTTGGTCCATGGTGAGGAAAATTGCAATTCCATTGTGTTGATCTATAGTTTTTATGATACTATACATAGTTGCATTGTCATGAATTTCCTTGGCCTTGACATGCTTCGAACTAGATCTGTTCGTTATTTTTCTATCGGTGTATTTGTTGTTATTTATTATTATTTTTTTTTCATTTTTAATATTGATCTTTGTTTAAAGATCTTGAAAAGAGTAACACAAAAATATTAATTTTATTAAAGATTGATATATGTAGTTAAAGTTATAACATTTTAATTTTTTTTTAACACTACACATAAAAAGGAAAATATGTCAAAAAATTTCTTTGCCATAAAATGTTTAGACTTGCCAACCAAAAAGTGTTGTGCATGTCATCTTCTGTTGGAAATCATATTGAGTAATTGAAGGAATTTAGCTTTGTTATATTAAACTACACAATCAGTGGGTTAGCCATGATTGTAGCTGTTAGCATATTATATGTTAGTGCTATGTTTGTGCTACTTTACTCATTATGTTAGTAATGCTTTCATCATTAATGTTTTCTCTTTCGGCTTGTAACTCCTCTATATAAAGGAGTTAAACAACATAGATAGATATATCAATATACATACAGAAATTCCCTGTTTTCATCTATTCCATATCTCTCTATTTTCATGGTATCAGAGCAAGGTTTGGGTGATTCTTGATATCCTTATTGTTTGAAGCTTTCAAGGGTTTCCACACCCTTGCCTTCACTCAACATGGGTGACAACCAGAATAAGGACTCCATGGTTGAACCCTCAAGCCCTTTGTTTATTCACCCATCAGATCATCCAGGCCTTTTCCTGGTCTCGAAGCGTCTTGACGGAAACAATTATGCAACATGGAGACGCTCCATGGTGATTGCTCTCACTGCCAAAAACAAAATTGGTTTTGTTAATGGTACGATCAAAGCCCCGCACACAACCGAGAAGCCTATCGATTATGCCCTGTGGGAACGTTGTGACAAAATGGTTCTCTCATGGCTTCTCAACTCCGTTGAAGCAGATTTAGCAGATAGTGTTGTGTACGCTGAGACGGCACATGAGATCTGGAACGATTTCCATGATCGTTTTTCTCTAGGCAATGCTCCACGAATTTTCCAGA